CCGCCCACGCTCCAGACCCTTGGAACGTCAGTCCACCATCATGAGTACATGTCACTGCCCAGTGAACGGTTGCATTCACGCAGGGGCACTCGCCACTCCATGTATTCACAGTTGACGTGCTGGATAAAAAGACAACCAGCCCTTTGCCAAAGTCACCACCACAACCACTGCGCTTATTGTCATTCTTTTCATTCCCGCAGCCGTATCCCCTCGCAATGCACGCGTCTCTTTCCTTCCAGGCAGCCAACACCTTCATTTCCTTCAAATTCCCCGTCACGTCCAAAAAGCAATGTTGTACTGCCTACCTCCCTCCGCAGCAGCGACCTCGTACGAGCAGCGCAGTTTTCACTTTCCCTTCTTCGCTTCTTTACGCAATGACGCTTTGTCTGCGGCGCAGAGCAGAGTGCTGGCGGCGACGTTCTCATTCTCAGCGGATATCGGCGCAACATCATAAATTCAGCTCATGTCCGTCAGCCACAAGTGAAGCCGACCCGTTTCTTCTTCTCCCTCCTTCCCAGATTATACCGGCCGGCTGACGAGGATGAATTTCTGTCCATCGATCGTCGCACTGACGAAGCCACCCGGCACGCCGTGCCCTGTACCTGTCCGTGAGTTGCCCCACACGCCCGAAATAGTGTCGTATGCCTCAGTCCACCGAATCCCCCTTTCCGTCCGCCCTGCAAGCCCTGCGGCTGCCGTCCTCACACGACGTCATCATGCGGAGACATTTGCTCTCCCATTCAAGCGCCGCAGGCCGGATGCAGCCCTCATGGCTCCTATTTTTTTTTTTCTACTCTTACCAGCGCGTCCAGCTATACAGTGCCATCTGAGTGCCGAAGAGGTGGTCGAGCAACGACAAAAGTTTCCTGCTATGAAGCAACTGCCATTGAGAGAACTTTCCGTGGCGAAGGTCCTGTTCAATGCCCGGCCGTTGACGCACAGCCAAGGTGCCTGGACATTCTAGAAGCAGATGGTGCAAGGTTTCCTGCGGGCCGATTGGCGTGCTTGTGGAAGCTGGCTGATCCTGCGGCAGCAGAGATTGCCTCCTGGCACTGCTGTTTCGATGCCGTGTGGCGTCTGGGTTGTGTGCGCAGCGACTTCTGTGCGGTGCGGTGCTTCTCCGTGTGGGGAAAACCATGTCACAGAAATCGCATTTGAGCGCGGGAAGCGGTGGAGGATGTTCCGGATGGAATGACCGACAGTGACTGACGAGATTCGAGAATCCCGTCAATGTAGAATCACAGTGCGGACATTTCTCCTTCCGACGGCGTGTGAGGGTCCGTCTCCTTACTGGAGAGACGTCTTCCTCCCTCGCCGACGGGGGAACAGTGTCCGTCCCCGGTGCAGTTGGATCGTTGTTAGAGCGCATATATGCAGACTGTTCCGGTGAGATGTTGCAGAAACGGCATTGGTTTGTGCAATCTCTCACGGCCCAGTATAGTCGGCCCCAGAGCTCAGATTCCCCGCACCTTGCCCTTGCGAGGTGAACCAGTTCCTGACGGTGTAGAACTTCCTGAGTGATCAGGTCCTTACCGCTGAGATCTGATGGCCTTGTGCCGCAAAGCAAGTAGCGATGAGTGTCTTGACGAATGGAACTACGCCACTTGTTGGTGAGCTGGGTAGTAAAACATGTCAGCAGATCCGTATGCCATAAAGGTGCGATTCCTTGCTCCGTGTATTGTCCGGTTGCCATGGTCTGCGTCGCATACTGATCTGCAAGCTCGTTAGCATGTACTCCACAATGTCCGTAACAAAACTGCAGGTGCACAGACCAGCCGGCACGCGTCAGTGTCAAGAGACGCTGCCAGATCTGATCCTCCGTCCAGTCTGTCTGACTGAGCGGGCCCTTGTTTAGAGCCGCTAGAAGAGACTGACTGTCCGTAACCACAAGCAGGGTTTTACGCCTGTGGCGGATACGAGGAATCATCAGCTTCTCTAGGGCTAGAAGCAGCGCACGGGATTCCGTCCTGTAGCTGCATGGGTGTGCACCGCAGTTTATGCTGGCCTTTTCTATTATCTCCGATGAGTTGAGGGATGAAAGCAGTATTCCAACCCCTGCTGACTTGGGAACGTCGACACCGCCATCGGTCGCAAGTATCCACGAACGATGGCTGTGCAGCGCCAGAGCCTCTTCGCTGACCCTGCGCCTTTACCGTATCAGCTCTTCTTCGTCCGTTATTGAGAGATCTATCGGAAGTTCCACACCGATGGTGGCCCGGTGAGCGGAGGCCGCAAACCAGGGAGGAATGGAGCTGCGAAAGAACCGCTCTTCGCGTGGTGAGCTCTCAGTGATGCCATAGTCCTTTGTGTATGCGTCTACGAAGGCATATAGCTCGTCCCGAGATAATAGCGAGATGCGGAAACCAGCGCGAGGCGGTAGCTCAGGCGGGGGTCTCCGCATCCAGTCCATCTGACATGCGCGTGTTTTCTCAAAAATAGAGAGCCGCGCGCGCAGGCAAAGGACGTGGAGCGGCGGCGTATTAGCCTCCAGTAGCGCGGATTCCGGGTCAACAGTGCTCGGAACTCCGCTGACAATGCGTGCTAGAGTTGCGTACGTCTTCTGCATCTCATTCTTCGCTGAATCCGTCGCTACCGCCCATATGAGCTCGCTGCCATAGCGTAATTTGGAAGCACCGTATCCAATGACGAACGTGCGTAGGTCATGTGGAGATGGTCCCGCCTCTTTGTGCGCTATGCAGCGTAGCTGCGATATCCGTTGCGAAGTGGCAGCGCATTGCTTGGTGGCCGCCACATTTAGCGTCAGTCGTGGATCGAGATCCATGCCGAGAAGCTTCGTAGTTCGCGATGCCCCCATGGTCATGACTGGGATTTGACATCCAGCCACTACCAGGGGCCACCTTCCTTCACGATCATAATCTGACTCCGTGTGCGTGGAGAGTGTGAACCAAGCAGCTTCACACATTGACGGGTTAATGGCCAGGCCATTCTCCTGACTCCACGCATGCAGCTTTTTGAGAACCATGTTGGCAGTGGGAATGGCGTCTTCCCGGGACTGCCCCTTAACGATAATAGAGAGGTCGTCCGCATACATGTCTGCTGTGACACCCGCAAAGCTGTTCAGCAGATTGAGAAGTGGGTGTACGTAAAGGGAGAACAAATACGGCCCCAGCACGGACCCCTGAGGAACTCCTCGCAGCATGGGACGCCGATCGCTGTGTCTGTGGCCAACTCGTGTCTTCGCGTAGCGACCACATAGAAAGTTTCTAAGCCACCTTCTACAATTCACCCCCGGAATATTAGCCAGCAAGCGACTGAAAACTCGATGGTCTATGGAGTCAAAAGCCTTGCTGAAATCAACCAACACCAGCAGAGTCCGATGGG